CATTTTTTAAAAGAATTTAGGTCTCTAAATTTAGTTGGACTACTGAAATATTCTCTATTAAGATTAAAGGTAACAAAATTAAATATCAAATCACATTTTTAGATTTCTACCTGACTCCAAAGCTTAATTAGTTTCTAAAAGTTCAAATATTGACAATCCCCTGTTGTGGCTGAAAGCTATATGGACCTTTCCATCATTTATATAATGACATAATTATTATATAATGACAATATATCAATAATAGAAATTTATAACTATTAGAAAATACTTCTTTCCTTCACCATTTTTTTTTGTGTGTGTTAAAACAACACACACCTGTCAAAGCAACTTCATACTATAGTGAAAAGCATGGAAGACATGTACATGTTGACCTATCCTACCGTTTCATTGTTTGGTAATTGCATAATGGAAAAATGGCCAGCATTATTCTAGTAAAAATTAAACTAAATTTTCTCATATTGAATAAGTTAAATATAAGTTTGCCTAAGTTAAGGATAACATATGAAGAAAAAGCCAGGCCATATAATATTAGGAGCTTCAGTCACTGCCCTTACCTCAACTCTTGCAGCAGCCCAGGAGCCTTGAGCCACTACTCTCCCATTGGATAAGAAGCTGCATAAGGAAGAAGAAAGGCCATTCAGGGGCTTTCTGGCCCCATAATTCAACAAATGCCACCACCCCTACGGCCTACAATTGTATTTTAATTATTAGAGGGCAGAGGGTGGCCTGAATTATTATGACCTTCACTATATATAATTTTTAACTTCACAGTTATTTTGAATATCCACCTAGTCCAAAAGCAAAAAAGGCAAAATGTACAGTATTTATGTCTACATCAGGGGATTTTAAGTATAATTGTTTAGCTTTTCTTCAACAGAAGTGCAGACTAAAGGAATTATTTCTAGGAATGATTCAATCCATTTGATTTGTCATTTGTATGTGATTTAAAAAGTTAATATCTCCATCATTAAGTTCATTCAAAAGCACTCTATAAGTACAGGATGATATCACTAGATACTTCTCCATACAAAAAGCCATCGAGGACTTTGTATTGTTACTTAACGTCTTTGGGTTTCAGTTTCACTATCTGAAAAATGAGGGTTTCGGAGAGGATATGTAAGTTTCCTCCCACGTCTGATATTCTATGGTAATACTACTAGGGGCATATTGCTATCCTATAAGTTCTACCATACAATAAAATGTATTTTTACAATTAAACTACAGTGTAAATATCTATAAGGCAATATTATGCTACCTAAGTAATCCTAACAGTGTTTCTTTTCTCAGAAAAAATTTTAATACTCACTTGAGAGTCTTGATCTTTGAATGTATGCTGTGGCATCTGCTCTGCATCAGATATTTCATCTGAAGACTCATTCTTTCTTTTTTGTTTCTTACCCAATGTAATAATGAGTTTGCTGTTTCAAGAGGAAAAAAATAAACAGTAAGACCTCTTTGCATTTTCCCATTTTCGGTCAAATTAAGATTGCCATGATAAACTTTCTTCCATTTTATATCACTTGCATGTCCAATCAAGGATGATAATTACCCTGAAATCCATAATAACATTTTCAAAACATAAACTCTGTTCTAATGGAACAAACATAAACTAATACTACCGTTAACGTATTTCTAAGCACTGAAAGGCAGACAAATCCTATCACTTGTTTTTCAGTCTCAAGATTATTTTTCATGGGAAAAATTTCAGGTGATATAACTGTATTTAATAATAAAAATAATTCATTTATTTTATTATCTTGCAGATTTGGAATGAAGGATTTTTTTCTTTCTACCTCTTATTAAATTCAAATTCCACTTATTGTCCTTGAATCCCTCCTATTCCCTAAAATCGTCTACTTCTTTCTACCCAAGAGTAATTTCTCCCTTAAGTAAGATAATTTAACAATTGTTCTTTAATTCTTTCATTGATGTTAAGGCTTATCTCAGCTTACGGTATGTTCCTAAAGAGTAAAAACTATTATTTTTTATATTCCTACAGTATGTATGTGTCAATATATCTTTATATGTACGTTTATATATATTAATATTTATACATACACATATCAAATAGAATTATCTAAAATGAAGTTTTTTTCTTTCCTTGATGAGGGGTATAAGTACAGAACTCCACATTTCCTTATCTGCATCAACAGATGCAGGGACATAATCTTTTTTCAAAAATTTCAATAGATTTGGGGGTACAAGTGTAGTTTTGCTACATGGATATATGGTATAGCAGGGAGGTCTGGGCTTTTAGTGTATACATCACTCGAATAGTATACAGTGCACCCAATAGGTAATTTTTCATCCCTCAACCCCCCCACCTAGACACATAATCTTAAAGTACCATACTAATCATAAACCATGCTAATTACTAATCAGCAAAATTCTATTTTAGATATCTGTATTCCAGAAATTGAAAACTCACCCAATATTTTCTGGTATATTTCCCAGAAAAGTATCAGAATTCTTTAAGCAATTATTTATTTATATGGGAGAACTTGGAGGTTAAGAGAATGCATTTTGAAATCACAGGGTCAAAGATTTAAACCTTGACTCCTCCATTTACCTATTTGTGAGATACCGGGCAAATTAATTAATCTCCTTTAGCCTTAGCTTCCTTGCCTGGAAAACAGGGATATTATAATAGCTATTTTCACTGTTGTTGAGAATTAAATAGGATAATTTATATTTGCCATTACTATATCCTGACACACAATAATTGCTCAACTAATGGTATTACTTCTAATTATTATGTGCCAGGCACTTTCCCAGGTTCTAGGATTTGAAAATAAAGTGACGCAGTTTCTAACCTTAAAGTATCATAGTTAGACTATGATCATAGTTAAAATGCTGCTATGGAGATTAGTTCAGGATGCAATGTGAACACAGAGGAAAAAGTATTTATGTTTACTGAAGAGTATAAAGGAGGCTTTATAAAAAAGGTAAAGTTTGAGACAGGAATTGTATGATGAAAAGGAGTTTAACAGGTAGTGAAAGAAGAGGCAGGGTACATTACAGACGGGGGATACTACAGAAGAATGAAGAGAATATGTAGTAGTGACAGTATGACAGGAACACACAGAGTACAGACAGAGGGATGAAGCAGAGAGCTGGACAGCTATATAGGGTAAAGATCACAGAAGGCCTTGTATGACATACAGAGAGCTAACATTTTAAGGTCAGCTATTAAAATTTTTAAGAGATGGGGTCTTGCTATGTTGCCTGGTCTGGTCTCCTGGCCTCAAGGGATTCTCCTGCCTCGGCCTCCTGAGTAGCTGGGACTATAGGCACAGGCCACTATTCCTGGCTAAGGCCAGCTTTTAAGCTCCACAGGGCAGGAGGTTTTTTGTTTGTTTGTTTATTTGTGTTTTGAGACACAGTCTCGCTCTGTTGTCTGGTCTAGAGTGCCATGGCATCAGCCTAGCTCACAGCAACCCAAACTCCTGGGCTCAAGCAATCCTCCTGCCTCAGCCTCCCAAGTAGCTGGGACTACAGGCACGTGCCATCATGCTCGGCTAATTTTTTCTATTTTTAGTAGAGATGGGGTCTCGTTCTTGCTCAGGCTGGCCTCGAACTTCCGAGCTCAGTGATCTTCTCCCCTCGGCCTCCTAGAGTGCTAGGATTACAGGCGTGAGCCACCACACCTGGCGAGGGCAGGAATTTAAAAGGAACCTGTCTTGTTCATCGCTGGCAACACATATTTAATGAATAGACACTGAGATATTTTGAATAAATGAAAAACTAAAGCAATTGGAAGATAAAAGAATTTTAAGCCAGGGTGCAATGTGACTATAAGGAGGTAAAACGCAAGGCAGGGAAACCAGTAATAAGGCAAATGACAACTCAGGTGAAAGAAAAAAAGTGTAATCTCGGGCCATGGCAATGTGAATGAAGAAGTGAAGAAAGACCTAACTTTTTATTGTGGAAGCAGACCCAACAGGACTTGGTTATTGACTGGATGACTAAATGTGAGGCAAGAAAAAGCTGTAGAATGATTTCTCCCTACGTTATTCCTGTATTGGAATGATTACCACATTCAACAAGATAACGGTAATTCTTACTTGATGTCCCACCTGTAGTGTTCTGAACATGGGAAGAAGGCAAATAAGAGTAAAAAATATAGCTTATATTGGAAGCAGAAAACCAGAGGCAATATAAGAAGATATTCTGAAACAACATTAAGGAACCAACCACAGTTACACTCCATTCCTTTCCATCACTTTCACTGTTTATTTCCTCCCTCTACTCGTACCTTTTCCTTATGCTCGTTTCCCTCCTAAAATAAAAATTTCCCTTGAGGCTATATTCACTGTTAGATACCACATGATCTTGTTCTTCCTCCTTCTTATCCATAAATTCTCAAAACAGTCATTTCCGTTTCATTCCTCAACCCACTGTAATCTGAACTCTTGAAACCAGTCTCCACATCCAGAGCTTCCACTTATTCAGTGTTTACGATGAGTCAGCCTCTGCGCCGACTTCACACGCATTCTCGCACTTGATGTTCATACGACTCTGAGAGGCAAGGACTATTATTTTAAAAGGAGAGGAAATTGAGGTTTAGAGAAGTGAAATAACTTGCTCAAAGTCGTACAGATAATAAAAATAGAGACAGAAATTAAGTATGCCTTACTCCAAAACCTGAACTCCTAACATCTAAGTCCACAAATGACCTTCAAAAGGCCAAATCCAATAGAAATTTTTAACGTCTTACCTAGTGACTTACAACTAACACTGTTTCCTTTTTGTACCCTTCTGGATTCCATGATACAACAGTCTTCTGGTTCTTGTTAAAACTTCTCTCCCTAAATTTTGGCTCCTTTTTCTCTACCTACTCCTTCAGTGTTGGCTTTCAGCAGCATTCAATCATTGACAACTCTTCTCTGCCAGTCTCTTAAACTTTGGTGTTTCTCAAAGTTCTGTCTTCAGCCTTCTTCCCGCTCTATAAACTGTGTCTGGGTGAATTAATTTAATCTATTCTTAACTACCACTTAGAAGTTGAAGATTCTCAAATCTCTTATCTCTAGCTCAGACCTTTTCTCCTTCAGACCTATATAATCAACAGCTTATTAGACATATCCATGTGGATATCTCAAAGGTATCACAATCTCAAAATGCCCCCAAATCCAATCCCTCATTTTCTGTAAACCTAATAGTCCAACAGTCTACTAATATTAAAGTATAATGTAAATTCAGAAAAGCGCACACGTAAGAGTACCACTCGATGAATTCTCTAAAACTGAAAATACCTGTCTAACCAGCTCCAAATCAAGAAACAAGACATTATTAGCTTCCCAGAAGCCCCCTCTCATGCCCCTTCTAGTAAGACTCTACTCCTGAGGGTATCCAAGAACCTGCTTGTGATTATTTGCTACATCCTAGGGCACTTGTGCAGATGATTTTCAATGGCAAGGTCACGGACAATACTAAGTAAAACTGGGTAGTAGAAATAGGTATATGATACTTTTTCCTACTTGCTATCCCTCTCCAACCTAAACGGGTATTTTCAACTCGTCTGTAGATGAGAACACCACTAGTAAAAGGAGAGTTTAGTTGCTTAAATAACAATTTCCCATGACATGCAAATCAAGGCCTGTTAATACCTTTTAATACATTGCTTAACAAGGCATTTTCTTGATGTTTAATAAGCTAAATGAATTATGTGAAATACATATTCTGATATAGTATCAATGTGGCTGCTTGGAGGCTCAAATCCCACTGAATAAAAACTTCAATAAAATGAGAAGCAGAGATATTTAAATTTTCGTTAAATTTATAAATGACTATGAAGCAGTAATGCTGTTCCTTTTTGGTGGTATGAGGAGATTAAAGGAAGATTCTCTAAGGACAAAGGACTAAGCTGCTTAAACATTTTTATAGATAAATGTTACCTAAATCTCTGGAAAATAAATACTAATTAATAGGTATTAACTACCAAATCAATCTTAAATACCCACTCCCTCTGGTGGTGGGGATAGGTTAGATAAAAATGTTTCCCATCACACCTGTGATAAGCTTTTGTTGTCTTAATTATTAGAAAATTTTACCTAAAAACAAAAAAGGAACTTATATTTATTTTCCATATATTCTATATTTTTCTTCCAACATTGTTCTCTAGGCCTGGAATAGCGTCTTATTTCACAAAACTCATTAACCATTTTTAACAACTCAGGCAAAAATCTCTTTCAAATTCCAGCTTTGTATGAGATATTTCAGATATAGCAGTTTACTACTGAACCTTTTTAAGTCCAAAATGTCACACATGCCCTTTCTATTTTAAAAGAGTACATGTCCACGATAGGAAAAGAGGCCAATTCCAAAGTCATTCTTGACTGACATAATTCTGAGTTTAAAAAAAAAGTATAAGACAAGTGTGGTGGCTTGTGCTTATAGTCCTGGCTACTTGGGAGGCTGA